TCTCCCGTGGAATTTGTAATAAACCTAGTTAGGAAACAACTTATGAAAGACGTTGATCTGAAGAATAGAAACTTCCTCGATAAGTCTCATTCATAAACTACTCAATGTATGTCGTACTGGATTCATTTTTTTAGAATTCGGCAGTTAGTTAAACCGCCAAAATTAAAGATCCCAGTGGACCCTACCCCCTACACTAGCTGATTTGTTTATGAAACGTTTGGAACAGATAGCCTTCACTATGCGCAACAGAGCGATATATCTAACCTTCTTCAGTGGTGTGCAGATGGCAGTTTAGCATTAGCTCTCTGCTAAAGCAGGTAATGACGAAACACCGTTTTGGGAACATCTGACCAGTCCCTTTTAAAGCGTCTTCTTGTTCACTAAGGAGAAGAGAAGAATGACAGTTTGCCATTCCTGAATGAGCTAGCGAAACACTAGCAGCAAGGATATTCGACAACAGTGTATTGCAAGAAGATAAATACGGATCGTTAAAGGAAGGTAATTTTTACAATGAACAAAATTTCGCCGGGCTGACTTTGCCAAAACAACCGTTATCCGCTGAAGGTACTAATTAAAGGTCTGACAAACCTATCACGATCATTCAATTTTCTTTGCTCACCCGATGGTAAGTTCTGCATCACCTTGCCATACGTTTGTAAACTGAACACGAAGTTGCGACGTACTGCGTATACTGTCTGTATGAACATTGTATTCAAGCCACCTTCGTTATCTTCTTAGCCACCGAATATCAAGAGACCAGAGGAGCAGAGACAAGGTTGAGCGTACAAGCTTCCCTGCTCATGTGGTTCAATGTGCATAAGCGAAATGGGTAGCGCCTTTCAGGAAAGGAGGACCGAGCACAAAAGAAACCTCATCAGATGGAAGAACGCTGATGCCAGACAAAAAAGTCTCAAACAAGTAGACAAAAGGAGACAAACAAAGGATTTCATGATTATTAAAGTGGGATGCGAGAAATCCGCTATTGTAGAACATGGCGTATTCCATCAGCATGCGATTTCTCGGGTCAGAATGAAAGGCCTCCTGGGAAGGCAATATCTCACCTTTAAACTCACGTAAGGGTTGCTGATTCGCGCAGTTTGCTGTATCAGTCGCGACCCTGATGCAGATATCAGCGACAGACTGAAAACAACAGTTGCTTAGTACTGTGCGCAAGCGCGGCATCATTAATCACATGGG